CTCTCTGGCATCTTCTCCTGGAGAGATGGGGGTCTCCTCACACTCCTGCCCACCCACCGCCCCATGTGCTCCTCTGCCCATGCGTCCTCCAGTCCTGCCAGCTGCCCCCAAGCTATTTAAAATGTACCAGGGGTCCTTGCCCCCACCACTGGTAGCACAGTGGGGCTAGAGCAGCTTCCTGCTCCAAGGGTTACCAGGTAGTCTGAAAAAATACCAGACACACTTGATCATGGCGGTGGGGGGAGGCAAGGGGAGAGCAGAGCTGGCTTGGAGGATGGCGGGGGTGGGGTTTTTTTTTTTTTTTTAACAGAACAGGAGGTGAAAGAACGGACTATCCGGTTTAGTAACGGACACCTGGCAACCCTAAAGACTTCATAGCCCATCAGTGGAATGTGTACTAAAAAAGGAAATAAGTAGGTAAATTGATTAACACTGTATCTTCAATCCACATATCAATTACCCTTCTCTCTCTCCACTTCCTCCTTTCCATCTAAACACACCTTCCCCCAAAATATATACCCTCTGAGTTTATGCAGACTTGTTTAGTTAGTCTCTGCCCCACCTCCCAGCCACTCCCCCGCCCCACCAGGCTTCCATCGAGCGCCCAGCTGGAAAACCAGAAAATACCGGATATTGCATATGTCCCGTATTTTCTGAATTTTTTTACTGGATAAAGGGCCCAAAATCCGGACTTTCTGGTAGAATACCGTACACCTGGCAACCCTATGCTCCTCACCAGGTGGCCAGGCATGCACCTGGTGTGGAGCACACAGGGACAGCAAGTGGGGTGGGGTTGAGGAGAAAAATAGAGGTTAGATGTGAAACATCTTGGGACAGATGTTTTGGTACATGCTACCCCAAGTGGTCCTGCCCATGTCAGTCAGTGGCCCAGAACTCTGGTGGAGTCTGTCCCCAAGTCAGGAATATTCCTGGTGCCATGGCATCACTGCCTATGCCTGGAATCTTCCAAAAGGATGATGGCGGAGGGGGTTGGGGGTGGGGAAATAATACCACACTGGGAAGAGGGAGTTCTAGGGATGTGTTCCAGGAAAGAAGGGGAATTCTATGACAGTAGCATGCCCCTGGGCTCACCTGGATCATCCCCTTTTCCATAGGGCTGCCCTAGCAAAGGCAAGATTAAGTGCTATTTGTCTCATCCCGATGGAGCAGCAGGTGTTTGTGTGTGCACCCCACTTCTCAGCTGGTTCCTTTCCTTCTCAGCAGAGCTGCCAGGAGAGCCGGCCCCAGGCTTCCAGTTACGCTCTGTGGATGTGGTCTTGGACTGTCATTATATAGAGGAAGCTGTGGGAGGATTTCCAGGTGCCTTTGCAGGATCATTCTCCTCAGACCCTGCCACCCTGGTGCTGAGAGGTGTCAGCATTGCTGATGATGGAAGCTTGGACAGTGTCACCAACTATGAGGTTCCAGGGACAAGTGCTGACTCCACTTCTCCCATCATCTTTGAAGTCTCAGGTGAGTGGGGAATTGGAGATAGCAGAATTGCCATGATAGCCAGTTGTCCTTGAGTGAACTGAAATCCGCACAGACTCAAAACACAGAGCTCTGCTGCAAGGGCGCACAGGACATGTGATGGACAAGGGAGTAAAGGATTCTGTGTAAACAGAAGGGCTGTGTCTACACTGTACCCCTTTTCCGGAAAAGGGATGCAGATGAGAAGTCGGAATTGCAAATGAAGCAAGGGATTTAAATATCCCCCGCTTCATTTGTATAAACATGGCTGCTGCTTTTTTCCAGCTCGGGGCTTTGCCGGAAAAAAGCGCCAGTCTAGATGGGGATTTTTCAAAAAATAAAGCCTTTTCCGAAAGGTCCCTTATTCCTCTTAAAATCAGGAATAAGGGACCTTTCAGAAAAGGCTTTATTTTCCGAAAGATCCCCGTCTAGACTGGTGCTTTTCTCCAACAAAGCCCCGAGCCGGAAAAAAGCGGCAGCCATGTTTATACAAATGAAGTGGGGGAGATTTAAATCCCCTGCTTCATTTGCAATCCCAACTTGTCTCATCTGCATCCCTTTTCCGGAAAAGGGGTGCAGTGTAGACACAGCCAAACAGTTTCTATCAGCTTACTTACAATAGAGGGATAAGATGAATGAGATAAAATGTTTTATTGGAGGGATGTTTTAAATGTTGGTGAAAGTACCCGTCTTTTTGTAGTTTTGTACCCGTCTTTTTGTATGTTTTAGTCCATAGATCATGTACTGTCCCGCTGCCCCAGAGCACTGTATGACCATGCATCATCAGTTAACGGTAGATGGGACTATGATCTTCTTTTCTTGATGAGACTTTTGTCTCTCATTCTTAGGTGGGTCTCACACACAGTGGTCTTCAGCCATCAACAGGTGGTGCTGGCAGCTGGTCTCCAGACAGGCTGGCTTCAAGGATTGATTGCTGTACAGACACTCACATTTGCACTTTTAACATAGACACACACCTAACTTTACACTGAGTTAAGGCAGTACACAGTTTAAAATGTTCAGTTACAACATGGTTAAAATGGGGTTTCAGTTACAGTATGTAAAAAATGTTCCAAAAAGGTTACAATAACAGATTCTCCAAAGGCAATTCTTAACAGGTTATTAACAAATTAATTCAAAACCCATTAATAAAATTGGACTGCATTTCATGAGGTTACATAATGTCACATTTGTCGATATAATTTATTAAAATGGCAAGTTCATTCTTCAGCCCTACAGCTTGCCTTCCAGATCAGTGAGGGTGTCCTAGATCCAGCCAATAATTTGTGGCACAATCCCAGCCTCATCCCTCTCCATGCAATGGTTGAGCTTAGCTCTCCTCACCCAAACTCCACGGCTTATGGCAAGGACAGCATTAGACAGATCTGAGCTGCCACTCCGGGCCCTGTGCTTTGGAGGTGGGGCCCGGGTGGCCTGTGGAATTACTGCAGGGCTAGGCACCAGCAGCCGGGGTTAGGGTTGCCAGGTGTCCGGTATTGAACCGAACAGTCCGGTATTTTCGCCTCCTGTCTGGTAAAAACATTCAGAAAATACCAGATACCTAAAATGTCCGGTACTTTCTGATTTCTTCCCGGCCAGGAGGTGAAAATCCTGGGTGCTTACCGGGTTCTGCAGGGGAGCTGTCTGGACTGGTGCAGGGAGACAAAAAGGCAGGTGGCCACCGGCAGCCTGTTAGGGCCAAAAAGCCTCAAAAGCAAAGCGAAAGCAGAGCAGGCCAACCCAGCCCCAGCACACTTTACTCAGCCATTTTCCAGCTGAGTCGCCCCACTTCATCACTCTGGCTCTGCCTCCCTGTGACTTGCATTGGTGTATTTTTGTGATTGGCCACACGTTCTATGTTACTGGCCAGAAAAAACTCTTTCTCCAGGTCTGCAATTGGCAGAGGAGGATGAACTTGGAGCCTAGTGATTGGCCATGGCAACATCATATTTCGATTGGTTGCTGCCTGCCTGGCTGCCTGGTTTTTTGATTGGTGGGTGAGACCTTTTGCTAGGTGGAGTAGCGAGCACTGGGACTTGCAGAGAGCAGGATGACAAGGCAACTTTAAAGACAGGGTTTAGATGTGAGGCATCTTGGGACATATGTTTTGGTACATGCGACCTCAGGTGGTCCTGCCCATGCAGGTTAATGTGTATCCAGGCCTGATTCCTGTGTGTGCATTTGCACCCTGGGACACCAACTGGAACTGCTGCATGGCGTGAGACCTTTTGCTAGGTGGAGTAGCGAGCACTGGGACTTGCAGAGAGCAGGATGACAAGACAACTTTAAAGACAGGGTTTAGATGTGAGGCATCTTGGGACAGATGTTTTGGTACGTAGGACCTCAGGTGGTCCTGCCCATGCACGTTAATGTGTATACAGGCCTGATTCCTCTGTGTGCACTTGCACGCAGGGACACCAACTGGAACTGCTGCATGGCGGTTTCGCAGTGTGCAACCCTGGAATCCTGAACTCTAGTCCATCACTTAACCACATGGGTACCTTTCTTCCTCCTTAGACAAGGAGAGAGACACACTCACAGGAGAGAATGGAAGTCTGACACTTCATGGTGGAGTTGATAGGAGAGAGATGGAGAACAAGTAGGAATAAGAAAGGAAGAAAGTGAGAATGAGGGAAGGGAGAAAGTAAGACTGTGGGAATGGTTAGAGGAGGAAAGCGACAGAGAGAGATCTCAGCTGCAGTGGTAGTGAAAGGGGGGGGAGATAGCAAAGGGAAAGGGAGGGGCGTACTTTTCTAATTGTGCCGAAAAAACCAACAAGATTTTTAATGGCAAAGAGGAATTGACAAGAGAAGGGAGAGTTTAAGGATGGAGCTGAAAGTGGCAAAAATGGATGGGGATTTGAGCATGGTTTGCAGTGAGAGTGCAGCTGTGCTGTTTAACCAGGGAGAATGTACGAGGAGAGAGTAATCAGAATCCTGATACCTACAGCTCTATGCTGTCAGTCAAGCAGCCCTGTAATCCGCTAGCAAAGTGTGTCACGCTATCCTCTAGTGCCTGGTCTGGAGGCCCCTCAGTATACTCCTACCACCACTACTCCTTGTTTATGTCTATGCTGCAATTAAAAACTCCTGGCTGCGGCATGTGGACTCGAGCCGCAGGGTTGTTTAAGTGCAATGTAGACTTTCGGGCATTGCCTGGAGCCCAGGCTCTATGACCCTTCTGCCTTACAGTATCCTGGAGCCCAGGCTCACTCAAGCCTGGAAGTCTGCACTGCAGTTAAACAGCCCTGCAGCCTGAGCCCTGGGAGCCTGAGTCATTTGGCATCAGTTTAATTGTAGGGCCCATTGACATTGGGTAGAGGCCTGTGTGGTGGAGGATAAAGTCCTGAGTTCAAACCTGTTGGTATACGCAGAGAAAAATTGTGTGTCATGATGTAATTAAAAAATGTGACCCTAGCAGCATAATGACTATGCCTCAAACCAGGAGCAGAACTGATTACCCTGTTCACCGGGCTCTGCAGCTACCTTCCTCACTGTGCACCTTTCACACTGGCTGCATGTTATATATTTGGACAGTCTCGTAAACTTGTTTTAATGGGGTCACCTGGGCTTCTGTTAAACTTGCTGGAGCCTGAGGCTGAAGCCCAAGCCCCTCTTCCCAGGCCAAAGCCTGAACTGCCCCTCCCAGGACTGAAGCTGAAGACCAAGGGCTTCAGTTCAGGGTGGTAGAACTCAGGGTTACAGGCTTTGACCCTCACTTGCTGGAGCCTGGGGCTGAAGCCCAAGCCCCTCTCCCCAGGGCAAAGCCTGAACCCCCCGTCCCAGGACTGAAGCTGAAGACCAAGGGCTTCAGTTCAGGGTGGTAGAACTCAGGGTTACAGGCTTTGACCCTCCCACTCTGGGCAGTGAATTTCAGGTGGGATCATGCTTCAGTCCCTCCTTACTCCTCCCCCCAGGTTCATGTAGTAACTTTTGTTGTTAGAAGGGAGTTGAGGTGCAAAGACATTTGAGAACCCCTGCTGTATACGTTCCCTTGCCCTCCTGTCCCACCTGGACACAAAGCGGCAGAACCTGCTGCCTTCAGCTGAGGTTGGAGTTCTTTTGTGGAAGAACTTTCACTTCACCCGGCGTGCAAGGAGAGGAAAGGGTGTAAGAAGGGGAGTGTCACAGCTGCAGGACTACCTGCTCTTCAGTCCCCTTTCTAGTCTCTCAGAGAACCCAATTCAGGTCTTGAGCCTCTTGTCCTTGCCTGGTTTGGGATGGAATGTTTTTTCCATACGTGGAGCAGGGCTAGGACCACTGGCCAGTGTATGACAATCGCTTATTATTGTGCAAGTCCAGCTGGTTTTGGGGAACCCGTGTTTCCTTCCCTTGGGAGCCAACAAAGTAGTGGCCAATACTATAATCAAATATTTTAAAACAAAATGTTTTTACTTAGCCATTGAAACAAAGCAGGGGTGGAAGGAGGGAAGATTTTAAAATAACAACCTGCAATTACATCTGTCTTATCTAAATTACCATCATTCCATAAAGGTGACCTGGGTAGATTTAGCTTCTTCAGAGTCATTGTCCCCTGTCCAGTGGTACCACAGGTTTGAGTGTGTCTCAGTCTGGTTCTCCCTGGTAACTCTGAGGGAATGTCCTTTTAAACCCCACAAGTGTTTTGTTGTCCAAGATGCTTCTCAGAGTATTGGAAAGCTTGGGCTCCCACTGGTCACGACAGTTCTGTATGTGATCTGCGGATCAATGCAGAGTTATCAGAGCTAATAGCTCTGGCATCGTCTCTTAACTTTTCTCACATGGTTGCAGTATTTGCAATACAGCGTTAAAATCATGAATCAGGTCTCAACAAATCATGAGATTGACTTAAAAATCATGAGATTTTCTAAGGATAAATGTTAGGTTATTTTTTATCGGCCGTCTGGATTCTGTGCTTTTAGAATGCACCTAGGTCATGTTTTCAAGTTTTGCTTCTCAAACATGAGTGGTAGAAACTTACTTTTTTAATGGAAGCCGGGATCCTCATGCAATGGTTTGATTTCAGCAAGAGCTTTAAGAAAACGTCGGCAATACCAGCAAAGCCGTTAAAGGAGCGTTTGAGCCACCTTCTCCTGTCTGCCTGGGAGCCCTTAATGAAATACATTCTCACAAAAACCTCTTCACCAGAGCCAAGCCAGTCTACACTATAGATTGAACCTCTCTTAACCGGGACTCTTTTGTCCAGCAGCATCCCTGGTCCGGCATCCTGGGATGTCCCAAGACCAGAGAGTCCCAGTGGCGGGCTGGTGGCTGGGAGCTCTGCAGTGGGGCTACAGCCCAGTAGCAGGGCTGCCCTGTGACAGTGAAACCGGGAGCCAAGCAGTAGGGCTGCTGCCCTGTGTTAACGCTGAGGGGGAGAGGGGCAGCAGAGCTGGAGCCAAGCAGCAAAACTCGCTGGGAGGCAGCTGGCTGGGAGGCAGCGGAGTCACCCGGCAGCACAGCGCGGAGCCGACAGCCCCACTGCCACCAAGCACTGTAGCTGCCCGGCGGGAGCAGGAGGCAGCGCGTCTGCCCCAGAGGGCCGGGAACCTGACCGTGGAGCCACCTGGTGGCAGGGCCAGGACCCCAGTAGTGGGGCTGCCCAGCAATGCAGCAAAGAGCCTGGTAGCCCCAAGCAGGGCTTTTCCCCCAGTGGTGCAACTGGACCCCAGCAGGGCAGTTGCCCCGTGGGGATGGAGCCCAGCAGTGTGGCTGTGTGTGCCAGTGGCAGGGCTGCCACAGTGGGACCAGGTGCCCTGTGTATGGAGGGGCCGGCAGCAGGGGAAGCTGGCAGGGAGGCTGGCTGTAAGGCCATAGCTAGGGATGGGGGGCGGTGACAGGGATGGGCCCAGAAATGACCTTTCCTGGTCTGGCAAAATCCTTCATCCGGGACCAGTCAGGACCCGAGGATGCTGAACCAAGGAGGTTGAAGCTGTATTAACAAATTGTTAAAAACAGTCCAGTATTTTGCCACTGGAGTATAGGTGCAGAGAGTGCAGGGCAACAAGAAAGACTGGCACGTGCTTCAGTAACAGTAAGTGAATTGGCAGGTGGCAAGAACTGCATAGAACAGTTTTCAGGTTAAAGGACAAGCTGGGCTTTAAATCCCTTTCTGTCCTCTCAAGTGCATCCTTCACTTGAAGCCTGGCTTTCTTCACCTCTCCCAAGGGCAGGACCCCATAGTCCTGTTTCCCAAACATGTTAACACAACAGGCCCCTCTGGCACCTACTAGGGATGTGAAGGTTTAACTCAGGGGTGGGGAACCTTAGGCTCAGGGGCCAGATGCAGTCCCCAGTTTGCCTGGATCCGGCCCCCAGTATTGGGAAACCTCCTCTATCCCCCCCCCAACTAATGTTTCTGTAGGTCAGCAGCCCCCAATCCACAAAAGGTTTCCCATCCTGGTTTAATTGGTTAACCCGTAAGCCTCATTCTTAACAGGTGAGGGTTACCGGTTAAGGTTAACCGATGGGGGCTGGAGCAGCTCCCGCAAGGGACCTGTCACAGACGGGATACTCTGGCGAGGCTGGAGCAGTCCCTGTCTGCGGCAGGAGGGGCCACCCCAGCCCCTGCCATTTAATCAGTTGACCAGTTAAACAGTATGTTTAACCTGTTAGCCAGTTAAACTGCCACCTAGCAGCTCTTTTCATTCTGTGGTCTGTGACAGTGATGGATTAAAGGTAATCCAAAAGAGACTTCTAGAAAACAAAACATGATTTGTTCACCCAAGATACAGAGCATGCAAGTATTCAATGACAGTGGCCTGTATATTGGCTTTTTACCTGCATTTTATTCGTACAGAGCATGCAGTGACAAGTATTCAATGACAGTGGCCTCTATATTGGCTTTTTACCTGCATTTTATTCTTTCCTTGCAAGTGTTTGGTAAGTTCCACACAACTCAAAAATCCCTACTCCTGGGCTGGTGAGAGCCCCTGCAGCAGCCTGTGTTTCTCTTTGGCAGACCCTCCTCTCTAGCTGTTGCTGCGTCCTCAATCCCACTTCTTTTTAAAGGCTGAGACCTTTAATGTTTCAGCATCCCCTTTGGTCCCAGGTTTAGGCATGGGAAGAATAAACCTTGCTAGCATGGTTGGCAGGTAGGTATTTTCCAATGTACAGCTCTCCCTACTGTTCCCTTAAGCTACTGTCTGCCACTGTTTTGTTCCCTGCTGTTTTCCCCCAGTAGCCTTTCATATTGTCCATTCTGGCTGAAAAGTTAAAAGTAACAGGTAAATTGAGAAATCCATAACAACAAACCATATGGCTTCTTCATTCACCACAAGAATTTCTTCAAACAAGCTGGGAGACCAATGCTTCATTTAAGGCTCTTGTGTTCATACAGCTGGAGTTTGCCACTTTTTACGTTGGGTGTGAAAGAGCCGTTGGTGTCTCTCCAAATTAGGGCCCTACTGAAACTTGATCCTCTTTTTCCTGTTCCATTCATCAGACTACCTAGCTCCTTTTTCTCATTACAGAAACATTGGTTCCCATCCCTTATGCGGAATCCCTGCTGCATGCAGACTGTGCTGGGGAGGAGGTGACCTGTGAGATCTCTCCATACAGCCTACATGTGGCTGATGAGATGCTCACTCAGGCCTCCTGGTTCATGGGGACCCTGAAGCTGTCCAGTGGGCTCAGCATAGCCCTGGTGCTGAAGGTCAGAAGCGACAGGGAGGAAGATGGGGGAGTGGCTGTGCTGCACCCAAGGCTGAAGGTCCCTGTAAGCAATGAGGGCACAGTACTGACCACAGGTAAGCAGAGTGAGGAATGAGATGAAAAGACTTTAGTTCTGGAATGCACCTGCTACACCAAGGAGTGCTAGGGGAGCCAGACACCCCAGGGCTGAAATCTCCACACCAAGGAGTGCTAGGGGAGCAAGAGATCCCAGGGCTGAAATCTCCACACCAAGGAGTGCTAGGGGAACAAGAGATCCCAGGAATACCTCACTTGTACAGGGACTGAACATAGCAGGATAGATAATCCTTGCCTTCTGGAGGGAAGCTCAAATGCACGGGGCCCTGTGGTCCTCCAGCTATTTCCAAAATGTAAATTCGGGGCCACCGATGTTCCCTGTTGGTCACTCTCCCTTCCACTTCTGTGCCCCTTGGCCCCCAGTTCTGTCCCTCCTGTTCTCACTGACTGTCCCCATTATTTGCCACACCCCTGGGATCCCTGACAAGTGCTGAGTCATCTAATAGTTTGTTGTAGCAAGCAGAGCAATGTGCACTTACTCCCTGTATCCTGCTAATAGCTCTGCAGCCTGCTGGATGGGCTCTTCTTGGGGGTACGTCTGCACTGCAGGTTTCTTGCGCAAGAGCACGTCCACACTGCCATGTGCTTTTGCCGAACAGAGTGTCCACACAGCCATGGACACTCTTACGTAAGAAAGCACTGATGGCCATTCCATCAGAGCATCTGGGCTTTTTCCGATAGGGATTTCTTGTGCAAGAAACTTGTTGTCCATCCACACGCTTTTTTGTGCAAGAGCTCTTGCGCAAAAAGGCTTCTTCCTCGTAGAAAGAGGAATAACTCTTGTGCAAAAAGCCCTGTCTTCTGACCATCTACTGTACTTTTCTTGTGCAAAATCATGTGGACACTTTGCAAGTTTTTGTATAAAAACTCTACAGTGTAGACATAACCCAACGGATGCACAGTTCATACCCTTCGATTCAGCCTACCCAATAAGTGCACAGCATACTTTCTGCCGGTGGGTGGAGCTTATTGTGACCTGATGTGCTGCCAAGGAGTCTTTCATGATCACAGATTTACACACTTTCTATCTTTCTCCTACTCTTTGTTTCTAGTTGAATTCCAGTTGTCATCTCACACCCCTGCTTTGCGTGCCCGACTTGGCAGCTCCGTCAGCCTGGACTGCAGCTTTGCCTTGGCTCCCAGCTCTCCGCTGGCCTCGCTGGAGTGGAGGCTACAGCACCGAGGCAGTGGGCGGAGAGTGTTTCACTACCAGGCAGGGGACACGGTACAAGCAGAACAGCCAGGGGCCCAGGTGGATGTGGTGCAGCTGCTGGAGACTGGAGATGCATCGCTTCGGCTGCATGGCGTGCGAGTGGGGGATGAAGGGACATACATTTGTTTGGTGTCCACCCCGCAGCACCAGGCCCAGAACATCATCCAGCTGCAGTTGGTCGGTGAGGAATTGGTGCTTTATGGATACTAGTCAGGGGGCAGTCGGGGGACAGGTCCCATTGACTGGAACCTGACCCTTCCCTGTAACTCTGCTCCCCTCCTCGCTTTCCCAGGCCCATCCAGTGGGGTGAGGCACTCCTCTGTACGACTCCATCCCTCAAACACACTTTATGACTGGCTGGATTTAATTTCCTGTTTATTCCCCTCCAGAGCCCCCAAGGGTCCGTTTGTTCCCAGAGCTGGTGTCTCGTGAGGGGAATGGAGTCAGCACCCTGACCTGCGAGATCTCTGGCTATTACCCCCTGGATGTGTCAGTGACGTGGACGCGGCAGGCTCCTGATGACAAGGGCAAGGTCCCTGTCTCAGGCTCAAGCACATACTTCTCCAGCCATAGGCAAGCCCAGGATGGCACGTATAGCGTCAATTCGTACCTGAGTATCAACACCGCCACAGAGCTGGCACCTGCCAGCCACAGCTGCCATGTCTTCTCGCATCTCGCCCTCGAAGAGCAAATCACAGCTAGTGCCCAGCTCAGAGCACCAGGTAAGTGGGAAAGGAGGGCGAGTGCCCTGAACTGCCTCGGCCTCTCAGCTTTTGCTTCGTCCTCTGATCTCCTAGCTCCAGCTCTTCACCCCTCACTAGGAGGTACGATAGCCCCTTCCTGTTTGAGCATCTTCCCATTTCTCCCAATTCCCTTGCCAGCCCTTATTCCCCATCCCTTCTTTCCTCCCTGGCTTCTGAGTCTCACTTCCCCAGCCCTTTGTGAAGTTTGTTCTCTGCATCATGCAGCACCTTGCACTGGTAAGGGGACAGTGATTTCAGGGGAGCAAAAAATCAGCACTTGGGCCCCAATCCTGCTCATCAGAGTCCTTATTGGGAACCTCACAATACATGGTCTTTTTTGCCCCTCCCCTTGCCTTCTGCAGTAGGAGTTCAGCACTGGTCCTGCTCTCTGTGCCATGGTTCTACCCAATGGGCAGCCAACTGCCTGAAAGCACACACTGCCTGCCCCAACCACACACTTCTCCCCCGTTGGGACCTGATGCTGCCCTATGGACTATCTCATCTCCCTAATCCAGTCTTTCCCCTGGAACCTTCCACATCTCTCCTCCCAGAGGGTCCCAGCCTATGCTGTGTGTGATGTGTGTGAGGACTTTAAACTCTGAAACAGATTCAGATGCAGTTCAGATACTGACTCCCCTTCTTTTTCCAACAGAGCAAAAAATATCCAATGGACTTGTGGGCATCTTCATCGCTACATTCATCTTCCTTGCTGCTCTCATTGGCCTCATGCTCAGGAGAAGTAAAACTGGTAAGTGTGTAGAGCACTTCAGCCCTCCCACACCCAGAGCTCCTGTCCTGCTCCCTACAGTGTCCATCTGTGAGAGGCAGAGACTGGAGTAGCTGGGAGCACCTGCTACAGCCAGGATTCCTGCCACTCTAATGACAGTGCTTCCTGTAGAGAGTACAATAGCTGAAAGCTCCCTCACAACCAGCTCTCCTGACTCCTTCCTTACAGCAGCCTGAGGCCCAGACTGGAGTAGCTAGTGCGTTTATCTCCTTCCCATTGTGCCTCCTGCCAGGAAGAAGCTAGAACTGGAGTCGTTGGCAGATCATTGCAGAGTTAGTGCTCCAGCTTTTCTTCCTACCATGCCTCTTGCTGGGAGGAAGTGGGGGAATCATAAACTCATAGAATCCCAGGGCTGGAAGAGACCTCAGGAGGTCATTGTGTCCAGCCCCCTGCCCAAAGCAGGACCAATCCCAACTAAATCATCCCAGCCAGGGCTTTGTCAAGCTGGGACTTTAAAACCTCTAGGGATGGAGATTCCACCACCTCCCTAGGTAACCCATTCCAGTGCTTCACCACTCTCCTAAGGAAATAGTTTTTCCTAATATCCAACCTAGACCTCCCCCAGCTTCTGTTTCTCATCAGCATAGTACCTGCAGAACATTGATCTGATCACTTTTGTCTCCCAGAATCTCAGTATTTTTCCTTCTTTTCAGTTGATGAAAAATCAGAGGAATCTCTGGAGACTTCAGGGTAAAAGGACAGTCCCTCTGATGGACTCAACCACAGGTGGAGGTTCCGCCACTCAGAAGCAAACCTTCCATTATGGAGCTACTACCTGTGCCAAGGACCCTCCTGCAGCTCTGTAGGAAGGGATTGGAGGACCCTTGTGACCCTGGAAAAGTGGAATCAGAGAAAAGTGGGCATCTCCCACATTTCCTGTGGGTAACTTCACTGTAACACTTTTCTTCTCACACTTTTAGGTACACAGAACTAGATCCTCAAAAAGATGTTGGCATTGGTGCCTAAGTCCATCATTTAGGAACCACTGTCATACAATCATAGATGATTAGGGTTGGAAGAGACCTTTAGGGTGTCATCTCGTAAAAACCCCTGCTCAACGAAGGACCAATACAACTAAATCATCCCAGCCAGGGCTTTGTCAAGCTGGGACTTTAAAACCTCTAGGGATGGAGATTCCACCACCTCCCTAGGTAACCCATTCCAGTGCTTCACCACCCTCCTAGGGAAATAGTTTTTCCTAATATCCAACCTAGACCTACCCCACTGTAACGTAAGCCCATTACTCCTTGTTCTGCCATCTGTCACTAGTGAGAACAGCCTCTTTCCATCCTCTTTGGAACCCCCCTTCAGATAGGTGAAGGCTGCTATCATCCCTGAGATCCACAAAGCTCCTTTCACTTGGTGACTAACCCATTTACTGCTCAGGTTTCATAGGCACTTACGTTTTTGCTGGAAAAATCCCCTAAGAATCTACTTTTCTGCCTGTGGGCATACACAGAATCATTCCTGATGCCACTGAGCTGCTCGGTTCCCTGGCTCATGCATAACCTCTAGGAGGATTCTCAGCCAATGCAATATTCTGCCTTTGTCACCTGCACGGCCTGATCCCAGAGGCATGCTCAGAGCTCACCTCTCGGTTTGGGCCTTGAATAAAGGGTAGCTAGGAGCAAGCAGAACAGAAATTTGATGTATGTGTCTATGTGCATATGTACATGTATGCCATCCCAAGGCATCCTTTTCCTTTAACCCCTCCACTGCTCTGCCTTCTCTAGCATGTCAAATATAAGCTGCTTGTATTCACCTTCTAGTCCCTTCTTTCCCACCCTACCTATTTGCTATTGAATTGCTGATGCACATGATGCCAGTCTCCATTGTCCACAGGTTCAGTTTTCAGACAAGCATCTCTCTACTTTCTCCCATGCTGTTCAGCACACTTGGGAGGAGCTGCCTGTAAACATTTACAAAGCATCCTCCTGCAGATACCTCTGCAAAACTCTCCTTGGCTGAGATGCCTGTAATGTGTAAACAATGGTTAGAAAGCTGATCACCCTGACCGTTGTTGTCTCATTGTTTCCTTATATTCCCTTACAAGTCTCTTGGTTTACGGTTAGACTGTAAGCCCTTTGGGGCAGGAACTGTCTTTCTGTTCCATTTGTACAATGCCTGGCCAATGGGGTCCTGGCCAATAACGACAGCTCCTATGCGCTACAATAATGTAACTAATAACATTATTTGCCTGGTGCCTTGAGCACTCTTCTGCAGTGTAGAGGCCCAAATTTCTACCCCTGTTCTGCCAGAGCCGAAACAGGGACTTGAAATCAAGTCTCACATCCCAGCTGCATGCTCAAACCACTGAGTTGTTGAGTATTCTGAGGTGGTTATGTCTTTGTCTGCCCTGCTGAAGCTGTTCCACTTGATATAAATGAAATAGTTTTGAAACAGGGAACCTGACTCTCCCGCGTCTCAGTGGAATGCCCTGACCACTGAGCTACTGAGTCAGTCTCCTGCTTTTTCTCCTCTCTTCTCCAGTGAATATTTAATTATTTATATGAAGACATGCTTCAAGAGGAGAGTCTGTTATAGTCCCTGTTAGTATCTTGTTGAAAAGCTGTGTTTGGGAAGTGCAGGGTGTGGAAGGGAATGGGCAAGGGGGAGTGGGGCTCACTCTGTAACTGGGTCATACAAGACATGCTGTTCACTGCACTTCATGCTAGTTTGAATTTAATCACTGAATAAAACCCCGTGGTTATTTTTCTAGCACATTTCCACTTTAACGCCAAACTCAGCTGAATTGGAAAGTATCATTATGCCACCACCTCTTAGGAGGGGTGCCAGGTTGGAATTGCAAGGTGACAGATCACAGTAGAGGTTTACTGCTTGTTATACAGATCTCTTCTTGGCTCTTTTTACACACGTGTTCAGGTAAAAAAGAAGTATTTCATTCCCAACTTCCATATGTAAAGGACTATTGCCTTGAAATGCAACCCCTGGGAAAGAAACTGGGATTAAAGGTAATGATCCCCATGTGGCTGTTTAATTCACAGTAGCAGAGAGAAAACTCAGCAAAAGTAAATGAGGGATGGGCTTCAGGACCAGGAAATATTTACATACACTCACCTATTTTGCCTAGGTGCTCAGCAGCTAGAGCTGGATTGCCAAAGTGAACAATTTTGGCTGGTTTGGGGGTGTTCAGATCAATTTAATATTGAACATAGGGTTATTGAAATGTTATCCTTAGTATGGCTACGTCTTCACTGCGAGTTCTTCTGGCAGAAAATATGCTAATGAGGGATCAATTTGCAGAAGTTGCAACATCATTAGCATATTTTCTGCCATTTCTTTTTGCACAAGGGGTTTTTGCTCAAAAAGAAGCAGTGAAGATGGGTTTTTTGCTCTTTCGACACTTTAGTATAGTCTAGGTGAGCCCTGACTGAGGGGATCACTCTAAACTCAAAGCTACTAATTAAGCAGGGGTTGGGGATGCCACAGCCCAGTGAAGGTTAGAGGGGTCGGGTTAGAAGTTCTTGTCTTATTTGATTTTCTCTTTAGTGTTGAAAGGGAGAGTTGAGCAAACTCAATTAAGAGTTCTTGTTTCTGTTTCATGATTGTGAGAGTTGAAATCAGGACTGAGCAGCAATCAGTTTTACACGTGGTGTGAGGACAGCATTCTAATGAAAGACGAGAGGCAGCAGAAAAGAGGTTTCTCCTTGTCCAGGGAAATCACTAAGAGCTGGGCTAAGTGGTGGAGCCTCAGAACTTCAGATAAACTCACTGGTAAAGATAAACAGTAAAACAAGTTTATTGACTTCAAGACAGACAGGCAAAAAGTCAGAGTTGGTACCAAAAGAAATAAAATACCAGCACACAGTCTAAACTCTCAGCCCATTAGGTCAGAGTCGGTACCAAAAGAAATAAAATACCAGCACACAGTCTAAACTCTCAGCCCATTAGACTGGGCAACAACTAGCCTAAGCAATTGTTCTCACTGGATATTGCAGTTCATAGAACACAGGTTTCACGCTTGAAACTTGGGCCAATCTCCATCGTTGGAGTCTGAGACTGAGTCTTCTCAGTTGTCCTTGTTGCTTGCAGCACAGCTGGGGGATGGGGATGGAAAAGGTGACGTGTGGGGTCATTGTGTGCTGTTTTGTAACCTTCGTCCCAGCATGTGCCTGGAGAACACAAGTGCAGGCATGTCTGGTGGGCACTGCTAGTCACCCGACAAGTGAGCATTTCCCCTGATGTGGCCTTGTGCAAGTGCATTGTAGCTCCCTGGCATTGCTCTCTAGCAGGAAAATAGCTGTGGATGTACCATACCCCCCAGGTGCTGGCTATCCCTAGGGCATTGTCTTTGGGGAGCTAGTATCTTGGTGCTTTCTAAACCCACAGCATGTTTTAGTGACAGTCATACAACACAGTTCTCATAACTTCATAGAAATTAATGATAGACATAGTTAGATGGAACAGTGGGTTTGAGCAGATCATAACCTTTCCCCCATACCTCACATATCATGCTTTATATGAAATATCAGAATTACACACAGATGATGATTATGGGGGCTAAAGGATGCTCCCCTGGGGTGTAATTGTCCCACATCTTCCTTTTCCCTCTTCTAATCTGCAGAAACCCCTCTGACACTGTGGAGGATGTGATGAAGACCCAGCTTTCCACGGTGAGGTATGGAAAGCACAAGACAGTCCTTGTCAGCATATACCCTGTGTTTAGCACAAGGTTGCTATTAAAAAGAACCCTTCCCCTTATTTCACTCTAGTACGAGTAAGAACATAATGAGAATCCCTCGCTATTCAGTGAACTGATTTGCTTTTCTAGCCATTGTGATTAGGGCCCTCTGGCATGGGCAAGAGGCCTTGTGATGCAAATTGTGGCAAATTTGTGTTGGGAGCACAGGTGGGCTCAATGCTCCATCCCCCTAGCTACATGGATTCTGCTTTGAGGCCAGGGACCAGCATTGAGGTTCCCAAATTGCTGAATTTGTCCAAGTTGGCTGCAGGGGGCAAAGGACTTGTGGCCTCAAGAACACAGGAAGCGCCCACGACTCCTTCCCTTTGTGCTGCTGGTGGTAGTTGCCATGGACTTGTAGAATCTGAGGTCAATGTCTATTCCTGCCAGCCAAACCACTGGCGTATTAGGGAAAATATGGTTGAGGGACCTAGAAATTGCCATGGGTTGTGGAGCATGTGCTCTATTGTTTGCAGTATGGCTGTGTCTACACTGGCATGAATTTCCGGAAATGCTTAAAACAGAATAGTTTTCGTTATAAATATTTCCGGAAAAAGTGCGTCTACATTGGCAGGCTGCTTTTCCGGGAAAGCCCTTTTTCCAGAAAAGCATCTGTGTCCAATGTAGATGCGCTTTTCCGGAAAAGAGCCCCGATCGTCATTTTCGCGATCGGGGCTTTTTTCCGGAAAAGACTACTGGGCTGTCTACACTGGCCCTTTTCCGGAACAGTGTTCTGGAAGAAGGACTTATGCCCGAGCGGGAGCAGCGTAGCTTTTCCGGAATAGCGGAAAGCCCTTTTTCCAGAAAAGCATCTGTGTCCAATGTAGATGCGCTTTTCCGGAAAAGAGCCCCGATCGTCATTTTCGCGATCGGGGCTTTTTTCCGGAAAAGACTACTGGGCTGTCTACACTGGCCCTTTTCCGGAACAGTGTTCTGGAAGAAGGACTTATGCCCGAGCGGGAGCAGCGTAGCTTTTCCGGAATAGCGGTCCTCTAGGTGACCCTAGCTGATATTAGTGTCCTGAGGGTAACGGGTGTCAAGGGAGCAGATGCTGCAAATGTCTGGATATAGATCTGGACCTTAAGCAGTTATTCTGCATACCATAGAGATGCCTGCAGAGCTAATTCTGGAGGGGCATGGGAAAGTGCCCGACCACAGTAGAAGAAATAAGACGGCCCTCCTCAGAAACTTGCAAAGGACTGCAGGGTTTCCTGGGCCATCCTTGTGCACATAAACATTCCTTTCCGATGGGGGGCACCCTCTGTGTAGCTGTAGCAGCCATTGGGAAGCAGATACTCACTACACCTCACTTTTTCTTTGTATTAAATATATAATGTAATAGTAAGAGCATGTAAATCCTATAATTTGTTTGGAATTGCACATTCACCAGAGGTGTTTACCCAGCATCATGCTCAGCCACCATGCTGTCCTGCAGATGGACCAGGAATGGTCTGCAGCTTGTCACAGCAGCACAGTGTGAGAGGGAGCCCAAACTAGTGAATCAGAGGGGGTATGTCTACACTACAATGTTAATTCGAACTAACTTAGTTCGAACTAAGCTAATTCGAACTAACGGATCCAGACTAAAAAACTAGTTTGAATTAGCGTTTTGCTAATTCGAACTAGCATGTCCACCCAGAGTGGACCCTGAACCAGGCTTAAGGATGGCCGGAAGCAGTGCCGGCAGGGCATCAGAGGAGGACTTAGAGCGTGGAGTTGCTGTCTCAGGCTAGCCGAGGGCTGCGCTTAAAGGGACCCGACCCCCACCCCGGACAGACAGTTCTCAGGGGTGCCCCGCTTGCAAAGCAGTCCTGGCTTGGAGTGCCCGAACTACCCACACTGGGCACATCACAGCACTTGGCCATCAGACTGGCTGCACTTGCTGCAGGCTGCCATCTGGGGGGAGAGTAGCAAAATACACACCCTGGACTTCAGAAAAGCAGCCTTTGACTCCCCCAGAGAGCTGATGGGCAGGATTCCCTGGGATGCTTACATGAAGGGGAAAGGAGTCCAGGAGAGCTGACAGCATTTTAAAGAAACCATCCTGAAGCACAGTAAGAAAAGCAAATATGGTAGGCGACCAGATTGGCTTACTGGGGAAATCCTTGGTGAGCTTAAACACAAAAAGGACGATTACAACAAATGGAAACTTGGACAGATGACAAGGGAGAAGTATAAAAATATTGCTCAAGAATGCAGGGGACCTATCAGGAAGATGAAAGCACAATTGGAATTACAACTAGCAAGAGATGTGAAGGATAACAAGAAAGGTTTCTACAGGCATGTTAGCAACAAGAGGTTGATCACAGAGGATGTGGGGCCTTTACTAGATGAGGAAGATAACCTAGTGACAGGTGATGTGGGAAAAGCTTTCTTTCTCTCTGTCTTCACAGACAAAGTCAGCTCCCAGACTAATGCACTAGGCAATGCAGTATGGGAAGGAGGTGGGCAGCCCTTGGTGTGGAAAGAA